CTAAAAAAAGAAAAGATTACTTATGAAAATTACCAAGAAAGAAAAATAATAAATTTCAGAAAAAGAAAATTAAATGAAAGTGTACTATTACCTAACAAAAAAGCAAAATCATCAGAAGAAAAATAATTTAATAATTGTTACAATATTGATTTATCTATATACAAAGAAACCTCTTTGTGCAAATGCAATCAATGATCATCATGTTGCATTGCTTATCAGTAAAAAAAAAAGTTTGGATGAACTTTACATTTAAGAACATAAATCTTTGTTTTTTCTCATTGACATCGAAATGAGGTAAATAGTCCTGCTTTGCATCACCAGTTCACTTATTTTCAGGTCAGGTAAAAATTTTTTCAAATAACAACTCCTAGTAATCATCATTAAACACAATTTTATTTTTTGGTCCAAAAAACAATCAAATAATCAATAAATATTTACAATAACATTTAAAAAATGCTTACTTTCAATTGTGAACTTGTTTGTGGATCATTAATTGGACTTTTGCTTGGTTTCTTACTTCATTATCAAACTTATCAAAATCAGTTCTGTATTATAAATCAAAATATTGATCAAATAATTGATAAAATAGAACCAAGAAAAAGCCAATTCAAAAATAAAATAAACAAACTTACTATTGATAGAAAATATTCACAAGAAATAGAAAATCTATGGAAGGATTTCAAACAATTATTTGACAAAAAGACTGGGTTGAATCCAAATTTTTCATTCAGTGAAATGATCATTGAAATTCGTGAATTACTTGGAGAGGGAAAAGATATTGTTGCTTCCACAATAAAAAGCTTTTACCAACAGAAAACAAATCTTAAAAGGAAACAATAGAAATGGAAGTGGGTTGAGAAGGAGAATAAGAAAGTGGAGAGTGAAGATGAAAAAGATAATAAAAACAATGAAAATATAAATATTAGTAGAGATGTTAATTGGTCCTAAACAGTCCTGGAAAAGTACTTTTTTTTTTTGAACTTATTTAAAAAAAAACTTATTATTATAAAATTTTTAAGTTGGTTAATTATATGAAAAATCAATATTATGACAATTTTAAAACTACAGTCAACCTTCCATAAATGCACCCCCTTGGGAATGGACAAGAGTGTGCATTTATGGAAAGATGCATTTAGGGAGGGTAAGAATCTTATTGGCTACACGTGACATTCGGGATATTGTGTTAAAAAAAATTTTATTTATTATTATATTATAAAAATTGATCCATTGTAGTTTGTTTCATTGAATTTATTTTTTTAAATTAATATATCAATCAAGAGAATTAACTTGTTTTAATTGTTCTTTAGTATTTCCTTGTTATAGTAAAAAGGCATAGACAATTTCCAAACTTTTGGAAGCTTCATCAGCACTCATTATTACCAGTTCAATGCTATCATCACCTTCATTATTGTAATAATAATGTTAGAAGATTTTTTATTTATTAAAACTTGTGTAAATGGATTTGTTTTTAAAATTCTTCATTCTTGTCTTGCTTTCTTATGTATAATAATTTCGCCTATAAAATTTTCACCATCTGGATTCTTATTCTGTCAATTAAAAAAGAAAGAATTAGTAAATTACTGGGGTTGGTCACAATGGTTGATCATCAAACATAGTTCAGGTCAATATAGAAAATTACTATGTGCGGATTTTTTAAT